ATTAAGTACTGCAAAAATTGATTTTTTACCTTAATCTTTACCCTAACCCACTGGCGGACTAAACCCGTCGGGGGCCCGGGCGGTAAAATAAAATGGGGCCCCTAGTCTGCTTATGAAATAATGTGATTGTTTTGTAAATATTATTGTTTTGTTATTTTAAATTTGTTAGTAGATCCTCTTAGCAAGTCCTTTGCAACACTCTTAATGTAATCAGTGATATGAAAATTGATTACAAGCTTTTTGAACTTGTTAATAATTTAAATTTTAGAAATCAAGGTGCCCACTCATGGCAGTCTAAGATTAACCATTATTTAATGTAATTATAACCTTTTTTTATAATTCCTGAAGGATTGCAGCTAGGGGTCCCGAGAGTTGGTATCACAGTCATTGGTTTGACAGTTAATGTCAAAATCGATTCGCCAAGCCGTCCTTAATTTACTTATTTACAATAAGCGGCTGTTAATGTTAAAGAAGAAAAAAAGGATTTTCTTTGGTGTTAAACAAAATTTATTGCCAGAAAAGTCTCGTAAGTACTAGAAAAATCATAAAAATATTATAACCAATATGCAAAATATTATGCTGTTTTAAGTATAGCCAACCTATAAAATCAAAATTTTGGGTGGGATAAAGTACCTATCTCATTACAGCACCGAAAGCGGTTTTATAATGAAGTCATTATGAACGCAAAATAGATCAATTTAGTTAATTAATTAAAAAATCAAAATGTTTTATGAACATTTTTGAAGATTTGTTGTTCCTATAATAATAATTTTATGCCAGTCCTCAGCAATGATATTAAGTAAAATAACAACATTATTATTATATGAATAAAACATCTTTAACATGTTAAATGCATTTTCATAAAACATTTTGTCTTGTTTTTATTTATCCCGTTAGTAATCATGGAATCGCCCTTAAGTGTGAACGCAAAATAGATCAATTTAGTTAATTAATTAAAAAATCAAAATGTTTTATAAAACATATATGAACATTTTTGAAGATTTGTTGTTCCTATAATAATAATTTTATGCCAGTCCTCAGCAATGAAATTAAGTAAAATAACAACATTATTATTATATGAATAAAACATCTTTAACATGTTAAATGCATTTTCATAAAACATTTTGTCTTGTTTTTATTTATCCCGTTAGTAATCATGGAATCGCCCTTAAGTGTATTAAATTATGTAATATTTTGGATTTATATTTTATATAATGAACAAATTAACGGTTAGGCTAACATTGTTTAAATAAACTTACTTATATTGGTATACATGTGTGGAATAATAATAATAAAATATTATATACAAAAGTATTGTTTAATTTATTTTCAAGGTCTTTGGATTTTCTAAACAGGTTATCCATATAATTCAAATATTTTATAAAAACATTATTTTTTATGCATAGGATTTTGAGTTCTAAATTATACAATATTTTAATATAGGTATACATAAAAGTCAATGTGAGTAAAAAATGCAAAAACGCCAGCCGAGAAAGTATATACTTATATATACTTATATAGGCGCAAATTTTGGAAATACGACATTTTTTCGTGACCACTAGTAACAAAGTATTAACTGCGCAGAATCTTCTATCTATTTCCCATTTTTCGCACTTTTTTTGTAAATTTATTATTAGTTTTTCCTACTGTTATTATTAACCCATTTCTAAATAAAAATACACGTTTGCATAAGTTTAGTATTGCATATTTTATTACCTATTTTTAGTAAAATATATTTAGCATAAACTGAGAGAAAAATTTGGTAATTTCAAATAAATACAATTAATTAATTCCAAATTTAAATGTTTGTCGATCGATTTTTAATTAAAAAAAAATATTTAAAATTCATAATTTTATATAATTTTCATTTATTCGTTGTTCAAATAATTACATTTGAAAATATATATGTTTTTCATTGTAGGCATCAATAGGGTTCAGCCTTTAAGGCCCATTTTCAGTCAACTCTCGTGCTAGAGTGGGAGTCTGAGTGCAAGCTTGCTTTGTGTATTTCATACACAGAAAAAAATCTAACATAGTACCAAGAACAGCGCTGTCATTGAATGCATTAAAATTGAAGCAATCTAAATTGTTATTTGCTCAATTAATTACTATTAAACCAAAATAGGGAAATATTTTGCCTAAATGTCAAAGAATTTATTGAGTTAAATGTATACATAGTATACATACAATAGTAAAGTTATTAAATAAATCAAATTAGTATTTAATGCAATAACATTCTACCATTTTAACAAATAAATATCAATATGAATATCAATAGATTTAGGAGCGATAACTTTTGTTGTTAATTTAAAAACAGTAAACGATTATAATTATAAACCAAGTGCTAACTACCTATTGGTATTATAGGAACTGTTATTCAGGAATACGGATTACAAGATCTCATTGGTTTAATGGCTCACCCATTCATGCTATGCTAGTGTTTTTTCTGTGTAGTAGTCATTTTCATTAAAATCTGACTCCAGCGCATAATCCGCTGTATGTGCTAAAGCTAAGAAGTTGCAAGCTTTAGTGCTGGGTCTGGCTTGTATTTCAATTTTTATCTGAACATTTTTTTATTTTTTGGTATTAAATTTATAGTGCTATCGATAGTTTTAAATTTTGTATTGTGGAAGTAGTAAACATTTGTACTACGAGGGTGGTTCAAATATAAACCGGAATTTTTTAATAAACGCGCTAAAAATTTAGTAAAAGTAAAAGTGGCTGCACTGGATGTTAGGCTGGTCTGTTACGAAGCGTAGAGAACAGCCGGAACTGCGTAACCTCGCTTTTCAGTGTAGTTATAGCCATGAGCGAGAAGGATGTACCAGTGTCTGTTGCGCAACGCATCATTATTCGTATTTTGGTCAAAGATAATGTAAAATCCGCGGAAATTTATTAAAAATTACTCGAGCAGTTCGGGGATGAGTGCCTCTCCAAGACTCAAGTGTATGAATTGTGTTCCGCTTTGCGAAAAGGCCGAGAAGTGGTGGCAAACTTGCCATATGCGCGGCGCCCCAAACAAGTGTTACAGATGAGAACGTCAGCGCTGTAGAAAAACTCATTTTGGAAGACCGGCGCAGTACTGTACGCAATATGCCTGAAGAATTGGGCATCAGCGTAGGTAGTATTGAGCAAATAATTCATAAACGGCTCGGTTACCGCAAAATTTCAGCCAGATGGGTGCCAAGACTTCTGAATTTTTATCAGAAATTCACACGCTAGGAAGTTTGATGAAAACATTGAACGAATTGGGTTGGGAAACACTGGAACACCCTTCTTATAGTCCCGATTTGTCGCCATGCGACTAGTATTTGTTCGGTCCATTGAAAGAGGCACTTGGCGGACTGCGATTCGAAAGCAATGTGGAGGTAGAATACTTCGTGCGCGAATGGTTACGTGACAAGCCGAGAGATTTTTACGAACAAGGCATCCGAAAGCTTCCGGAGAGGTGGCAAAAGTGTGTAGAGTGTGACGGAGACAATCTAGAAAAATTGTAAAAAATTTCAGCTCTGTAACTTAATAATAAAAAATTTTATAGCAAAATTCCGGTTTATATTTGAACCACCCTCGTATGTACAAAATTTGTACTACAAATACTACAAAAATAGGAAAAAGTTCGTAAATAAACATTTCTCATGTATTTAACCATTCATTTTTGTTAAGAAATAAGATCATATTGATTTTGAAGACAGTAAAGTTGTTATTTCATAAAAAACATAGCATACACACATATTAACAAATAAACTACACCAAAACAACAAACGTAAATATAATTTACATAACCCCAAATTTTGACATTGTTATTGCATGCATGCTGGAGTGCGATTATCGGTTAAAAATAGCCACTCTACGTGTGCGACACACTCCCACTCTAAAGCTAGCTTCAGAGTTAATTGAAAATGTAGCCCTAAGCTACATTTTCAGTCGATTTCCTAAGGCTCTAATTTATACCAACACATATACGTTAACCTTAGACAATAAACTTAACACTAAAGTGTATTCAAATCTAAGCTGGGCCAAACAAAAACGCCCAGACGCGTGATAACTCGTTTCTATTGGTCGATTCTGATGGTGTGACTCGGATTGTGAGCTCTTATTGGTCGATCCGGAGAATTGTGTTTACATTTTGTCCAGCTTGGATTTGAATAGACTTTAGACGCGTAAACTAACGATTTGTGGCTTCAAGATATTTTGACAGTTGTTCGCTGTTTTGTATTGTTTTTGGTCGGTTTTCTTAACAAATACAACTTAAAGTGATAAAAAGGTGCGTAGTTTGGTATTCGACAGAAATACGTACATTTACCTTTAAGTCCTTTTAGACATGTTTTTTATTTTACTATTAATTAAATATTGGATTAGTCAATAATAACAATTTTATAAGTATACATTTAAATTTTATCAATCTATATCAATCTATTTATAACAATAATTATTATAATATACTAATATTAATAATACTTTCTTATTAACTTACAAGAAGATCATACATATTTTCTGCGACCCAACAAATTTAGTATTTAATGGATTTAAAATATACATAACAATAAACAATTTAATCATAAAACTGACAATATTATTTCATTACGTTTAAATTTAAATGTAATATAAATTAAATATAGTATGTATTAAATACATACATACATTGTATTTATACAACAGCAACAGCAAATAAAAATTCCGGGTGGCAATGCAATAGCCAACTGCAGTTGGCTATTGCATTGCCATTGCCACATGTATACAGTGGTTTTAATTTAAATACTTAACATTTCCTGGAATTAGGCTTGCTTGAAATGATAAATAGATAAAATTGCCTTCATATCAGTTAGCTTTAAATCTTGCCAATTTTCTTTGTAAGTATAAATTGTTTACATTAAATTCCCATTTTAAATATACCTATATATACCTATATATACGTTTGGAATTTCCGAGTATTCATTTTTTGAAGCATTGTTTGTTCAAGTTATAAACATACTGTACAATTTTTGATATTATTAGATTACCTTTATCAACAGGGGCAATATTGTTGTCTGGCACATTTATATTCTTTACTTGTTTATCCACGACATCATTGTCTCCCAAAAAGTTTTTGTTATCGACCCCATCAGCGCACAAATTTTTGTTGAAGCGTAACGCATCACTGTTTTCCACTGCATTTTCTTTAGCATATAAAAACTGTTTTATAGTCACTGGTCCCTGATAAACGGTCTTATTCCCGAAATGTATGTCATTGGAGTTCATCACCGAAACATTTCCGAAAGTCGGCAGCTCATGCTGTCCGTCGTGCTGGACGATTTCGTTATCGGAATCATCCCTGTCGGATTTGGTGATCTCTTCCACCCTGTAATCTTCATCGCTGGACACGCTGGGTGGACTCGAGGGCAGACTTTCCCTCATGTTTACTTTTAACACTCGAACGATAATTTTCTGGTCATCATAACAATGGCAGGACTGATAGCAGCATAAGATGTTCACGCTCAACACTTTCAATGCCAACTACATTTGTTGTATTTGTTTCGGTGTCCGCTCGGTGATAATCGCTTTTAGTTGCGATACACAAATTAACACGACTCTATATTATACTAAAGTAATATATTTGTTTCATTAAATATTGTAACAGATAAGATAAAAAAAATGGGTCTAAACAAAGCCCAGTTTAATGATTTTTTTTCACACTTTTTTGATTTTATTAAAAGTTATTTATTATAATTGATACAAAAGTAAGAACGTATGACCAGCGGTTTTAAACTTAATAATTGTGATTTAAAGTAAGTTTTAATACTAAATTTATATATATACAGGGTGTTTCATAATATATGCGCATGACTTCAGGATGTGATAGCTCATCCAAAAAGATGAAAAAAGTCGCTATTAACTTACCCTCTAAAATGCACAATTTTCGAGATACAGGGTGTTAAAATTTTAGAAAAAAAATCGTTTTTTTCGATTATCTCTGGAACCGTTTGTCGTACAAAAAACAGCTTTTGTAAGCATTTTCTACTCATAATAAGCTATGTTTTGTGACAGAAAAAAAATTTTTTTACTCATAATTGGTGGAGATTTTGAAGGGGTAGCGGGTGTTTTTCTCCTCAACTTCAACGCCCCTAAAAAAAGTACGGTTTTGAGAGGCCCATTCGAACCGCCAATGTTTTCTACACAAAAAAGGTACTCTTGGTTATAAGCTCTAGTTGACGGTTTTCGAGAAAAATCAACTTTTATATTTAAAAACATGTTCAATTTTTTGAAAAAAAAAAAAAATTATTACTAATTAAACAAAATTTATTTTAACGTTAGAAAAAGTAACAAAACCAAACGATAATTGCAAAATTAAAAAAAAAATAATTTTTTACACAAATGCTGAAATGTTCGAAATGCGTTACCTTGACCCTGTTTTTAAACATAAAAGTTGATTTTTCTCTAAAAAGGTCAACTTTAGAGCTTATGACCAAGAGTACCTTTTTTGTGTAGAAAACATTGGCAGTTTGAATAGGCCTCTCAAAACCGTACATTTTTCAGGGGCGTAGAAGTTGAGGAGAAAAACATCCGCTACCCCTTCAAAATCTCCACCAATTATGAGTAAAATTTTTTTTCTGGCACAAAACATAGCTTATTTTGAGTAGAAAATGCTTACAAAAGCTGTTTTTTGTACGATAAACGGTTCCGGAGATATTCGAAAAAAACGATTTTTTTTCTAAAATTTCAACACCCTGTATCTCGAAAATTGTGCATTTTAGAGGGTAAGTTAATAGCGACTTTTTTCATCTTTTTGGATGAGCTATCACATCCTGAAGTCCTGCGCATATATTATGAAATACCCTGTATATATACAGGCTCGTGCTGGGATGATTTTAGGGGCCGGGAAATAATTCCCTTACAGGGCCCTCCCCCGCCTTAAATTTTATGTCATTTAGAGAAAGGGTTGGGGAACTGGGGGAGGTGTTGTGTTTGTGATTAAAATATTACGTTGCGTGCTGGGGCCGTCTACTACTTCCTAATAACCAGGGACTTGTAACGCATTTCTGTTACGGTATTACGGGTATTTTTGTTTATGTAGATAAGGATCTAAACTAAATTAAATCGAAACATGCGCCCCCCGAAAATGATAACTAAACTTTCAGAAATTAATTTGGTACTATTACTTAAGTATAATTATACTTAATAGTACCAAAACGAGTAACTAAATCTTGATAACGGTTAACAAAATTGTTATCGAAACTGTTTGTAACAAAAATTGCAGGTGCGCAACAACAACCGAAATACGTGATATTGAAACGAAACTGGTAACTGAGTAACGAAACTGTAACCAAACGCTGAATTTTAAAAAACTTTTACAAAATGCACATCAACACAAAGTCTTTTTAAAAATATACGTGATCCGTCTACTAACTTTCAAGCTGTCATGCTGTCAAGTATTGACATTGTCAAGAAAAATCATATCGTTTAAAAATTTGAATAAACAATATTGTGCAATATGTATTATATTAATAGTATATTGTGCGACTTCTGGGAGAAAAAGAGGATTCCAACTGACATAAAACTCATTTTTAACGTAAATATTATCCAATTTTAACTTAAAGCTAACTTCATGCAATTCCGCTCACTAGTGAGTCATGCGGGTAAAACTCTCGACTAAAACGCGCAGGTAGGTTACGCGGGTAAGTAATACGTTACGCGGAGAGTAATGCGCGCAGGTAAATCAAGTAGTGTGGATAAATCGCGCAATTAGGACTCGTGGGAAAATGGTGGTATACCTGATGACCATGTGGCGCAGGAAAGAATATATATTTCTTAAGGTAACTGAATAAAACATCGTTTACGATTTTTGGGGTGTTACTAACTTCACGTTCGAGGAATATCCTCTTTCTCCCACGAGTCGCACAATACTCGCACAATAATTACAAAATTATAAAGGTATTTTATAAGTACGCTGCTTCATTTATTTCACAATAGAAAACGTTACTAGGTACTTAATAGTTTTCTTCGATACACGAGAAACGTTACTAGTTTAGTTTCTGTACCAAGAGGCTTTGTTACGATTTCGTTACTCAGGTGGCGTTGCTGGTTTCTTTTCCATACCCTGTGTTTCGGTTCTGCTTAGAGTTTTGCTAGTTTTGTTACCTTAAGTGTCGTTACTCTTCTGTTACTTGTTGGGAACGATTTCCAACGTTCCGTTTCTGATTATGTTTTAATCTTTTTATGTTACTCGGAACGATAACGCCAGAAACGGAGTTTCATTTTTTTTTGTATATTTATATATTTACCTATAGGTAGGTTTCTTAATTTTAAAGCTGACCAACAAAGCCAATATTTAAATAAAGTCATTTTTAGGGGTAAATAATAGTTTAAAAACTACTGTTATTAAACAACGTCGAACCATTTTGAAATTACCTATGAATCGTATTTAGGTAATAATTTATGTTTAATTAAAGTTTACTAATTACCTAGTATTAATACTCAGGGTTCCCAGCATTGTTTTGTACTTTTTTTATGATTTTATGACAAATTTTTCAAGAATTTATTATTTCTTAAGTAATTTTAATAAAAAATAGGTATGTAGTTTTTTAACGGTTTATTATATAAAAATAAATATTTTTTCTCGAAACAAAATAAATATTTCTTCTATTATATTTTAATATATATGTATATGTTACTTTAGTATTTAAAATAAATAAAACCACATAGGTACAATTTTTTTTGCGTTTTTGATACCCCTGTTAATCATTGTTTGAGCCTCCAATATTTCAGATTTTTTAAGAGTAGTCTTAGTGTTAAGGTACTTTTAAAATTTCTTATTTTCTTCAGAAATAATATTTCTTGCTATTTTTAACTCTTACTTGCCAAACTAGTATCAATTTCTTCAAGTCCTTCTTTGTGATTGCGCTTTCTGCATTCCTTTTATAAAGTAATATAGTATAAAAATAACTTTACTATCCTCATTATTTATTTCAAATTTCAAAAATTAAAATTCATTTCCTAACCTAGCTTAAGCTAATTAATTAATAAGTCTTCTTCTATTTTCTTTATAGTATGATGTTCATACGTCAACAACCAAGGCCGTATTTAAATCATTTTATTGCGTTTTATTCTACAGGGCCGGCTTTAAATTTTATTTCACAAAATTTCTATTTTATAAAAAAGAGCAAAGGTGAGAACCTTGTTAAAAAATAATGAAATTTTATGATTTCTATAACAAAATGTGAATTTTATAGCATTTTAGGACAATTTAACCAATTTTATGATATTTAAAAAATTATGACAAACGGGAAGTTTTATACTGTTTTAAACAAAACATGTTTGTAGAGTGCCATGGGGGATTAACGAAATTAACGCTATCCCCCATACAATCTTTTAAATTTATAATAAACAGAATGTCCCGAAAATGGCAATAGTACAGGAAGCTACTCTTCCTAAACAGGTCCCGTTAAATTCAACCATGGTATTAAGATCCGATGAGTATAAATAAAATAAAATTCTAAAAATTGGCTTTGCACACTCTTCATCGCCAAAGTGCTGCTGGTTTCAGGAAAATAAAGAGCTTATCATCTGTAAAAAAAATTTATTATTTATAAACTAGTCTGGATTGATGGCATGAAGCTTATGCTTTCAGAAACTTTCTCATGTTCATGAGGCTCTACTGATGGTTTAGAAGCTGGAACCAACTAATAATAAAACTGCTTATAGCGCAGTGTAACGGGTGGTTTTTTGGGGTTACTGAACGAGGGGAGCGGGGGCTGATATTGACTACTATCAGTCCGTTACAAGGATGTTACCACTAATCTGACCTTTATTCCAGCGACGGTTGCCGATGATTTGGTAATCCCAATAAGCACGAATCACCACACTAAGTCACTCGCGACGGATCTCCCGGAACACTTCGCGAATCACGATATACTTACGTTTGCCAAGCACTGGGTAATTAGAATTAACAGGTACCCAAAGAAACAAAGCAGATTCTAACCACAAACAATATATTTACAATTAAGAAGAAGAATAAAAATTAACAAAGAAAATAAGAAAAATTAATAATTTAACGGTAAAGAAAATTAACAAAGAATATACGGAGAGATTAAGATTAAGAAACTAACTTTTGAATTAAACCGAACTAAATTAACTTTTATAAAAGGTAACCTAAATGAATCTTATAAAACTAATAATTTAAACTACAAATTTTAAACTAAACCGGTCACTTAAGGTGAACTTAACTGCGAGCACCGGTATAAGCAACTTTACAACAAACTTAACAATATACCTGACTTAATTAATTACACTGACTGGCTAGAACTTCGACCTTCGAACTCGGAAACGACGCGCGCGAAATCTTGCAAGATAAAATCTGCAGAACGCAGTTGAGTCCAGCTTTTAAAGACTCCCTTAAGTCGAGGGCGTGACTTGGCTTAGGGTTGAAGTTTCTGGCCAATCAGAGGCGTGCAGTGAGAAATTTCTACCCCTACTTAACGCTGACTTAGGGTGAATTCGGCGTTGCCTAACTACAAAGTTACTTAAAAAGTTTAAATCCGTTAACAAAGTCCA